AAACCCTACCCCCTTGTTTTCTAACTTATGCCAAACCTTATCTTGACTCCTTACCACAGCCTCCAGATCCCACTGCAATCACTATCATAATTTTGGTATATTATTCTAGTCTACTTTTCATACTTTCAGTGTACATATATAGGTATTCATAATCAATACATAGTATTGGGTGGTTTAAAAAGTAGTTATATAAATTATTTCCCACTGTATGTATTACTCTGTACCCTGTTTTCATTCAACATGGCATTGATTGATCCAAATTTTAAGCTTGAGCCAAATCAAAACATATACTTCAGTTTCTTTCAATTGCTGTACAGTATAGTCCATGGTAAGACTGTATCACATTTTACTAATCCATTTTACAATAAAGGACATGTGGGCTATTTCTAATTTTTCCACACTATAAACTATGCTGCGATCATGTACATACCTTCTTGCACATGTGTGAGAGTTTCTTGGGAATACATTTCAAAAGTGGAATACCTGGATTGTCAGGTACACACATTTTTTAACTTTACTAAACACTGCCAAATGGTGCTCAAAGTGGTTGTACTCTCACTAGCATTGCACCCAAGTACCATTTCTCCCTACCACCTCACCAATGTCTGATAGGTCACCTGATTTTTTGCCATTCTGATGGATGATTTAAAAAGGCAGCTCACTGTTTTCATTTGCACTTCCAGGATTATTAATGAGGTAAAGAACTGTTTATGTTTATTAGCTAGTTGGATTTCTTCTGTCTTGATTTGTCTATTTTCTTTGCTCATTTTTTTTCCTACTTCGGCATTATTCCTTTATGAAATCAGAGGTGTTAAAGCGAAAATGTTAAGGATATTTGATCACTTCCCTCATTGGAAAGATAGGGACTGAAATCCATACAGGGTAGGGGCCTGGTCAGGATCACGTGGTGAAAAAGAACAAGAGAGCCTGGGTTAGAATGGGGAGCTCTAGATCAGGAAACCAATATCCTACCCTTTCCACCGCTCTGCACATTTCTTACCAGACAGAAAAGAACTAATAGCCAAACCAAGGCCCAGAATCTGATGAAAGGGTCTAAAGCCTTAATTCAGAGGTTGTATAATGATTAGTTTGAATGCTT